TGTTTTCTATAGTTCATGTTAGCTTTCTGAAGGGCATTAAGGGAATTTTATTATGTAATCGAAAAACTAATAAAAACTTTGCTTCAGTTCGTCGTTTTTAAAGCAACAAGTTTCATTGTTATAAAAATATATTTTACATCGCTGAAAGTGGGGAGTTGATAGTTTTCTAATTAAAAAAAAAATTACGCTATAAATAGTTTAAAATTTCAAATATAGATGGCGCGCTATTTCGTTATATAAAATTTAGAAAAATGTCGGTTTTAAATAAAGCATTGTATTTAAGTGTTAATTGATTTTTAATATTTAATGAAACTAGTATATATATGAAAAAACAATAGAAAAAATGAAAAAAGGATAAGGTGTTGATATTAAAATAAAGAAGGTATTATCCTGACCAGGAGCACATGTGCTTTTTAGATGGCAGAGCACCATCTAGTGGAACAGAAATGAACTAAACATTGATTTAACCTGTTCCCTGATTTTTGGCCAAACCAATTTCTTGATAAATCAGGAAAAGCCATCCACGAACGCGTTTCGCGCTGTTGGCGCCCGTCAGTGTGGAGCAGGCTGTACCACTGCGAGCAAAAAGATTTTGGTCCCAGAGGCTTCTTGAGAAACCAAAAAATGTATATTTAGGGCCAAATTTGCGTAAATACGCTTAACAGATGAAAACAAAATAGAAAAAATAATTTTAATATATATATTTTTTTTTTCTCCGAATATAAAGCAATCCATAATATTTATATTTTAAAAATAAGGCTTATTTTGGATTTAATAAAAAAATTTATATTCACCCAATATATCGATGGACCAATCGTCCATCATTCACGAGGTTTTTGTTTGAAGCACACAGCAGGTCGCGTGCGTCATGTGAGCCACGGAGGTCTTACAAGCTTGTTGGGTGATAAAACCATCTATGATATACACCATAAACAAAAGTAAATATATTCCAAAGAAAAACAGTATAATATACACAAATACCTCGCTTTGCGTCGTTTCGTTTTGCGTTTTTTTCGAAGTTGCGTCGCTGCTTAAATTTTACTGGTTTTCACTGTGCGTCGTTAGAATTTCGAAGTTGCGTTGTTTTGGATTCGAGTCTTCAATTTTTAATTTTAATTTTTTTCCTAAAATATGGCAACACGTTTGTTTTTGATTGCGCCTTCACATATTTTCACTTTGCGTCGTTTCAATTTGCGTCGTGTTTTTTTTTGGAACGTAACCCCATCGCAAAGCGAGGTATGGGTGTATACAAATAAATATCAATAATTAAGAGAATTCGAATTAATTAAAGAAATAATAAACAAATAAAACCATCAATAATAACAATTAAATAACTCTCGGGGAAAATATAT